ACAGTTTTATCAAACAAGAGCAGAATGGTCATTTTTTCAGAAACAGCTGTTCTACAGTTGTTTTCACACAACTGCACCAAACAAACAGCAAACTTCCCTGCAGTTGCTTCACCGCAGCAGCTTCCTGGGGCAGCGCAGCAGCAGCTGAAAAGTTGGGAAGCTGCAGCTGCGCCAAACAGAGTCTTGGTGTGATTTTTAATAAAAAAAACACTAAGACGGGCCTTGATATCAAAGTTAACCTATCAATAATAGGTAAAGCAAATATTAAATTTGAAATCAAATATGGTTACAACCAAATAACTGAAATAGGAAAAAACAACAAAAATGACACAAACACAACTAGGGTTGTATCCTAAAGGGACGATGGCTGGAAGACATTAGGTGGACTAGAAGTGATGGTAGGTGGTTGGAATGGGTAGAATGAGGTATTGGAGGGTGGCAATTGCAGCAGAGAGGGGTTTTTGTGTTGTGTGTGAGGAGCGGCAACAAGTAGAGGCGGTTGGAAAGGCTGCGGGCTGCAAGAAACAACAAAAGGGAGGGCGGCAGTAGGTAAAAACGGCTAGGAAAGCAAGGCAACAGCAACAAGTGATTGTAACAGGTGGCTAGGAAGGTTGACGACTGCAAGAAACAACAAAGGAGGGGCTGAAATATCAATGGCAGCAAAGAGGAAATGTTGGAATAGCATAAGTTATGAAGATGGAGGGTTGGGGCAGTGATGCCAGCTTAGAGGAGAGGGGGAAAAATAATAGCAACGGTTGGAAGTGCCAAAAACAAACAAGAACGACTATTCAGGGAGGCTGCAGCAATGACGGGTGTCAGGGAAAGACGTGGGAAGGATGTGAAGAGGTAGAGAAAGGATAATCATCGCCTCAAAGTAGGGTATAGCCAATAACCACTCAACCAGTGGATACAGTCCTGGAAAGAAAAACCTGAGACATCGGCGGCTATCCCCAAGCAAAACTTAAGAAAAAAATGACTCAAAACACCACAACAGCACCTATATAGACCTAAGGTAACTTGGGATTGGGACCCACTCCTGTTAGGCAACAATCCCATGAAATGGAAGGACCAATCGAGCCCTCAAGGTTTCCCATATGAACCAGTCGAAGCCTTGTTGTTGTTCTGGCATCAAGTCCAAGGCTTGCAACTCCTGCGTCTGGTCAGCCACATTGAAGGTGGTGGAACCACTGTAACTTACTGATAAGTCAATTTTGTAGATTGTTATTTCATAGTTATCCTGATAAAATAAGTATCCATCCTCCTTTGACACGACCTTAGCTGGAGCTGCATATGGTAATAGATTCTCACAAAAAAACTCTCGAGCAATTGAATGTAATTTACCTCTTTCACTTCTCGTACTCGACTAGGTGCATCTGATAAATAAATTTGTCTGGAGGTACTAACTCTAGAATAAAATCTGTGGCATGCTAGACAAATATCAACAGCAATCACTCAGGAGGGGCAGTTTCTTATCTGGAAGAACATGGATCCTGTTGTAGAATATTCTTACCCACAAAGCTCCTAACGTGATTTCCAACATTGTGATTCATCCCCCCCTCCCCCCCGTCTGACAATCTGTCGGTGGGAAACTTTTGAACTGAATTCAATACTCTATATATGGTTTTTCAAAAGTAACTCAAAAGCTTCTTATATATGGCATGTTGGACCTCCCTCGCTGAGGACAACTCAGGAAGTAGGCTATATATCTAAAAATTCTGAAATTCTCTTATTTACAATTGTCATGTGTCTAGTGTGGTTTCTTGAACTCATGACCCTCCTTGACAACCAATGTTAATCCAATTGGAATCTCTCATGGGCTCAGCTTGAATGACTTGCATCTCTCTCTCATCAGTTGGAAGTTGGTACTCCTCCTTTGGATCATCTCCTTCAGTGTCTAATGTGTCATCTTCTATTTCTTCAACTACTCCCGCCTCAGTGGAAAAGATCGTACACTTGTTTGGGCAAACAAATGCAATGTGCCCAAAATTGTGGCACTTGATGCTTTTTTTGGTTAATGGTACATTATTGAACCGAATTTATGATATTCTAGAAGTAGCTCAAAGCTTCTCATTTCTAGCATATTGGACCTACCTCAGTAAGGGCAACTTAGAAAGTAAGCTATATATCTAAAATTTGTAAATTATCTTATGTAGAATTATCATGTGTCTTGTGTCAATTTCTCAAACTCATGACCCTCTTGGACAACCAATGTTATTCCAATCGGAATCTCATGGGCTCAGCTTGAATGACTTGCATCTATCTCTCATCAGTTGGAAGTTAGTACACCTCCTTGAAGTCCTCTCCTTCAGTGTCTAATGTATCAACATCTATTTCTTCAACTGCTCCATGCTCGGTGAAAGATATCATACTCTTGTTTAGGCAAACTAATGCATTGTGTCCAAAACTGTGGCACTTGGCGCACTTTCTGACTCGGATAGATTTGGGAATGTTGGTTAGCTTCACATGTTCTCCATTATGAACTAGTTTGTCATCAGGAAGGGTAAACTTAGATGCTCTCAATAGGGTAATACTTCTACAGCTTGATCATGTATTTGAGCTCTACCGGTCATATATGATAGTCACCAGATATTGTCTCGAAGATGCCATGTTTGTAATGAATTGTTAGATACTCGCTCTACATCACTCGTTTTATCGTGGCCAGATAGCGATTTTATTTTTTTCTTTCCCGATGTCGTAGGTGCTTCAAATTTTCCCACCACAACAACACACTCTTCATTAACTTAGTGGTGACTAGCTTTACCATTCTGTTAGTACTCAAAAGCATGTTCCACTGCCTAGAACCACTCGATAAACTCATCTGAATTCATGTGGCCGTCAAAATATGACAAGTCACCCTGCACTCCAAAATTCTTGTTTCTCCTCTGATATTCCATGTCAAATCTCCGGATTATTAGATATTCATCACTAAAAACTGCTCTGTTTAAGGGATTCACTTCATCCTTTCAATCTGATCAATCACCGTTGTGGTTGCAAGTGACCATTTCGGATTATCTCTTCTCAAAGGCAGCAAGCCTCTATTGCAGTTAGAGGATTTTCCTAGAAAGTTCCTAAACATCTCTTTGTGGATTTCACAAAAGTGATATCATGTCATTCCCTCCATATCAAGTATCCGGTGATTGTCACACGGTAGTGTGGCTAGGGTTTTGACTTGGAGGGGTGGAAGGGTATGTAAGGGTAGTGAACAAGGAAGAGAAAAAAAATATTATGGGACGGGGGCTGATGTTGCAACCCTATGATAGAATTAGAATTAGGCTAGCTTTTATATCGAATAACACTGAAGTTAATAAACGATAATAGGGAAAGCAAACATTATTACTTCAATCAAATAAGAAGTTATAACCAGATAACTAAAATATGAAATAACAACAAAGACGACACAAAAACTCAACTAGGGACGTATCCCAAAGGAGTGATGGTCGCTTATGCAGGTTCGAGAGTGTTAGGTGAACTGGAAGTGGTGGTAGGTGATTGGTAAGAGTAGGATGTGGTGTTGGGGGGTGGCAATTGCAGCAAGGAGGGGTTTTGTATGGTGGGTGAGAGGCAGCAGCAAGTAAGGCTGGCTAGAAGGCTGCGGGCTGCAGGAAACAGCAAGGGGGAGGGCGGTAGCAGGTAAAGATGGCAAGGACAGCAACACAACAGCAACGAGATATGGTAAGGGATGACTGGTAATGTTGACAGCTGAAAGAAGCAACAAAACAGGGATTGGAACAGTGATGGCAGCAAACACAAAGGGTTGGAATAGTAATGGCTACAAAGATGGAGGGTTGGAATAGGGATGGCTGCAGTGAAGAGAGAGGGGAAGGCAATGGCGGTGGTTGTAGCTGCAAAAAAACAATCGAGAATGGCTATTCAAGGCGGCTGCAGCAATGACGATTGCCGAGGATCAACGTGGGAATGATGCAGAGGAGAGGAAGGATAATCACCACATCGGGAACAAGATACAAACAGAGCACCACTTGACCCTTGAATACAGCCCTAGAAGGAAAAACATGAGATTGCAGAGGCTGTCTCGATCAAAACTCACGACAAAGTTGACCTAAAGCATCACAAAAACAACCTATAAAAACCTAGGGTAACTTGAGACTGAGCCCCACTCCAGTTGGGAGGCAATCCCATGCAAAGGAAAGATCGACCGCCCTTAGGGCTTCCCTTCTGAACCGGTCAAAGTCTTGATGTTGTTCTCGCATCCGGTCCAAGGCCTACGATTCCTACATCTGGTTCGCGTCTGTCCCCAATAGTGGACGCCCTGCATCAGACCTCAAGGCATGCCTCACATTGAAAAATTATAAACAAGGTTCTCATGTATATTTGAATAGCTAGCAACCTGATAATTCTAATAAAGTAAAATTTAGAGCATAGGGTTTTCTGCAAAAGGCTTGCACTAAAATTTCATTCATTGTGAATTAACGTCAAAGCAAAATAATCAATATTTTATAACAAAGCCATGTCACTCTAGCAAAATCATAATCAACCTTTATGTATTTGTTCACACAAAACAGAATTCAAACAAAGAAACAACATTTTAGTTTGTTCTGATATAAGTATTTGAATTAATTGGAAGTCAAATTTGAAATCAAGTCCGAGCATTTGGTTGGTAGAAAGTGAATAAATGTGACTTCCTACACGTAAAATTCATCTTCTTAAAGGTGATTAGTGTAGTGAGTTCCATTATTTAAGCTTGAAAATCACCTCAGTTTCGCTAGTATAGAATAGTAACGGCATATTACACAGTTGATAAGAGAAGGGTCCAAACTTCACTTTTGCACATAATTATAATAAAAATTTGAATTTGCAGTAATTGAGTACATGCAAAATAAAAAAAAAAATCTTTGAAATTCAATGCAATAAAATGTGATTCTGGAATATAATTCCAATTAAATCCAAGCGATTATCTATACTGAAGATTAATGTGATGAAAAGAAGCCTCCAGGAAGAAAAACTTCATTTTTTTTTTTTTAAATTAGTCTCAGGGCTCAAACCTTGAAGGTTTCCCACCAAGAAGGAATATCACGATCTACAGTTACATTTGAGCCTCCTCCATTAGCAGCGCTCACAAACTTCTGCAGCGCCACTGACTTGAACTGAACTTGAGTTCCATCCTATATTATTTTGGAGGATTTATATACATAGCACTTAATTCTTATATACTAACACTTAAACTTCAATTTATACACACATACCACCTAACCTATGCATGAAATATTGTATTTCACTTTTTAAAAGTCAAAATGATGTAAAAACAAAGTTTAGATCTTAGATATGTAAATACA